ATACATGTTATCAGATACTTAATAGTATTCCAATTCATGGGGGTGTGGGTCAGAGGGGGTGTGGTGGTGGTGCGTGAAAATGTTTCTGTCCCCAAGGGGGCGCATGACAGAAAATAATCGAAAACCACTGACCACTTTTGTCGACCGGTTAATCCTCCTTATTTCCTATTTGGTGCTAAGCTAAGCTGGTCAGATGCTAGCTGGGAATTTAAACCCCCGCAAACACGAGCCTGGCGTCGAGATGGTATTTTCAGCCTGAGGTGCGCTGGTGAAGCTCAAACTCTCCATGGTGACCCCACCATCGGCCCCTGATAAAGCACTGAGAAGTCAGTGGTGGAGACACTGGAAATATTAGCTACATAGGGCACGGCGTTCGTCCAATAAATAATTTAATCGGATTTAATTACAAAATGTATATGAGTACACATGCTACATTTGATAGCTCTTGGTATTATACTACATTCCAGGTTGATATTACAAAATAATGTTATGAACCAAATTGAATGAAATAAATTACAACGTTAATTTTGATGCGATTTGTTTTGCCCAATTGTGACATTTTGCTAACTTTTTACAGCATTTTTTTAAATTTTGCGACTCATTTTTCAAGTATAAATAAAAGATTGACAACTTTTGTAACATTAAAACATTTTTATACTAGTAATTACTGATGTTACCATCACGTTTTTAAGGCATGAGGACTTTCTTTGACATATTTTATTAGCTGTGTACCAGTGGTAAATGTTAACTTTATTTTGAAAATTCCTAAGTATTTTTTTATTACTATTGCCAATCCAACTTTATTTTGTATTTTTTTTAGTGATATAATTAAAATAATTTATCATTTGTCTGTATGTTTTTGTTACAAGGTAAAGAATAATTTTAAATTAGCAGCCTATTAATGTACTTTAGATGTGTTTTGAAACATTAGACAGTTTAAAAAAATAATAATTTTTACATGTGTACATCTAACCCAGGCTCGTGGGCCACAATTGTCCTAATCTTGAACAGGGAGGGCCGGGATATAACCCAGGCGTGGGCAAACTTTTGGCTCACGGGCCACAATTGTCCTAAACTTGAACAGGGGGGCCGGGTCAGGAGCAGACAGATGGAGGGTTTGTGTGAACTAAGAGAAATGACATGTAAAAGTCACGCATAAAGGTTAAAATGCTAAAATTACTTCAATGAAATCATTTTCTACACCATCTATTGGGGAAAGTGAGTATTGCAGGGAAAAGACAGAAGTATAACGATAATATAAATAAATTATAGAATTTGCAAAAGTTAAATAATACTAAAGTTAAAGAATAAAAAAGCCAAACGGGCCGCATCTGGCCCCCGGGCCTTAGTTTGCCCATGCAGTTTCACCTCCCCAGAACAACTGTGTTCAGCGTTGTTTTGGTTTTTTGAGAACACTTGTAACAGGTAAATAAATAGCCGGGAACATCCTGTCTGATGTAGACATGGAGTCAATGATGAGTCAATTAACGGAGGAAATATTTAACAGGTTGATTGACGGTAGACGAACACAGTCAGTCGCTGCCTCACTGGAGGTGCAGGTGCTGAGGAACACTGCGTTACAGTGAGGAAAAACTGTACTGTTGGTAAATGGAGGAGACACTTATGACACATGCACACACTCGTGCTTACTCACACACACACACAAACACCCTTCCCCCAACACCCCCTAAAACTCCCCCTGGGGGAAAAGTGCATGTTCAGCTTCTCTCTAGACCCATTCTGTGGATGTTGTTGCAGGAAAAAAAAAAGAACCCCACACAGGGAACAAGACCCACTCACCGCCTCAGAGTCTTCAAATCCATGAAGGTACAAGTTATCGTACATGGAGGAGTAGGTATCCACAACAGGCGGCTCTTCCAAAGCAAACGTCTAGGACAAAAAGGGATCAGCCAGTTCTAGCTCCAGGTCCAGATCCAGAGACCAAGGATGGTTGGATGTATGGATGGATGGTTGGATGTAAGGATGGTTGGATGGAGATGAAAGAGGAGTGACAACAGCAGCGGCGGCGGCAGATTCTGCCTCCACATGAAGATGCAGGTGAGCAGATGGAGTCAAACAGAAGACAAAAGAAGATGAAGCAGATGAAGGTGTGGCCCTGTGGTTCAGCGGGTCCTGGATTCTGCTGATCTGGATCTTATTGCCCGAGAGTGGAGCGAGCGTCGTTTCCCATTATGAGGCAGCCTGCTTTTTTTTTTTACCCCTGAGGAACAGCAGAGCAGAGCTGGCATTTCATCTGCCGTCAAAGCTCTCACATCACAGCGGCAGCCAATCCCCTCCTTCTGCAACCCCCCCCACCCCAAACACTGGCTGATGACAGGGGAGCAATGCAGCCTGCCGATTGGCCAACGGAGCCTCCAGTCAGGGCTGACTTAGAGAGGAGAAGGAAGAGGCATAAAAGGCTGAGGACTGAGAGCATCATGATCAGCAGCCTTGGACTGTGTGACTGGGTTCCACTGATAAATGGGTACATGACGCTACATCGAACACAATAGCTGCCGAGGCATCGCTAATGGTCGTGAAAACAAAACAAAAAAAGGGAAAAATGGGAATATTTCATTTGAATAATTGAAAAAAAAAGCCATTTGTCTGACAATCCTAATGATTGAATTTTGAGCAGTCCAACTCATTTATAAAGGTCAAATTCAGAAAACACATTTGACCTGAGTTAAATGACTGCTTCTGATTGGCTCTGCATCCATAAGCATTGGAAAATGTACATATATTTATTTATTTTTATATATTTTATAATGAGTTTCTATATATTTTGTATGTGTTTCTATGTATGTATAAATATAATATATATATATAATAAAAATATGGCAAAGTATAAGTTTTTGGCTAATTTTTGTTGCGGGTGTGAAGTGTACAGAACCTCTGTACAGAAGCTCTGCGCTATATAGAGCCTAATGGACGTATCATCAGAAAGTTAAGCACAGGTATGGTGCTTGTGTAAAAATAATTGAACCAATCAGATGACTAGATTTATACAGATTAATTGTGTTGCACCAAATGTGTAGCGCCACCTGCAGGGGAAGAACAGGAGTTTCTGTCGGGAATCAGAAGAAGAACATAGTATGTTTTTTTGTTTTTTCTATTTTAGTTTTTAAAAATTTTGCTCCTCGTGAATTTGGGCGATAAAAATACAAATTTTACTGATTTGATTTTTTTTTTTGGTAAAACACATGCCGTTAATGTAAATCCAAATCATTTGGGTTTGGTAAAACACACGCCTTTAATGTAAATCCAAATCATTTGGGTTTCTTCAGCTCGAGACACCCAGTGGAGGGGTTGAGTGACGACACAGTGACCTTCTGACACAAAACTGCCGCCGCCGCTCGTGTATTTACTACGGAGCCGTCGTAGCGCTGCCATAAAAATCCATATATAAATGTCTGTAACACAGAAACTGATCACAGAGAAAATCAATCAGGATGATTTACGGAGTTTCACCACGAGGTTTGACACCGTTTATGAGCACTGTCTCAGAGAAAGTCCCACAAGGCTGGACAAGAAAGACAAGAGAGAGAGAGACGAACAACGGGAGTAATAAATTATTTAGTCCGTAATATGAAAAAATGCAATAAAATGTGTAAAACAAAAGCTTGTTAGCCTCAGTTGTCGTTATGTATTTAAATTTACTTGAATACGACTAAATATATGAAAAATTGATCGTATTACGTTAATGCTTGGGCTGCAGTGGCTTCTGTTCTCTGGAAAAAAGAACAACAGCACCCTCTGCTGGAATAGACTTGTACAGCAGATTTACTTGCTAGGGATGTAAATTAAATATCGGTCTGTTTTTAAAAAATAAAAATGAAGACAGAAAAATGTTATTTAATTAAATAGTATCATTGGGCAAATTTTAAAAAAATTCATTTATCTATTATTTATACTTACAGAAAAGTCAATATACAATTAAACCTAAAATATTTCGAAGTTCTGGCAAGTAAATCAGTGTTATCTAACAAAAAAGTACAAATAATTATACATTTAAACAAATTTAGATATTAATGCCTTTGCACACGCGGGGAGGATTTTCAATCAGGATTAATTTTCTGTTATTTCAGTAACTGAAATAGAGAGAGTCAGCGCTGCTCTCGTTAATCACATCTGCCACATGAGGCCTCCACTGTTTGTTGTGAGCTTTCCACGTGCTCACGAAAAACCGCCTCTTTGACCTGATTTAGTTGGATTTATCACGAGCGTCTGATCTCCTGAGATAGAGGTGGACACGTGGTGCAAGGCAGAGGCCGCCCGGAGGTCAGGCTCTGAGGACGGAGAGTGGAGGATGAGAGGAAGTGAAGAGGAAGGATGGGGCAGAGAACAAAGCAGCCAATGAGGAGCCAGGCCTGGATTGTGTGTCGCACTGTGGCCTCTGGAGCCTCCGTTCCCTTGGTAACTTGTTAGCAGGACGTCAACACGAACGGCGAGTCACCGCTACGGCGAGCTGAACCACAGAACACGACTCAATGTAGGAAAGTGATCTGCATCTGCTTCAGAGCGCCAATTTCTTTTTAGGGCAGATGCAGCAGAGGGGCCCTGCCTCGCATGTGTCTGATGATTTATACATGAGTGGGGAGCAGAAGAGCGCCACCATGTCAAAAAGATACAAAATTAGACACTGATTTTGACCTCAGGAGGTTGTGTTACATTTTGTCTACGAAAGACTTTCAGATACAGACACAGGCTCTGTTATCATTCAGTATGTAGCTCCCCTTGTTTTCCTGCAGGTGGGGCTATAAATTGTATGAAACCACATTATTGTTTAAAAATACAGTACCATTTTTTTTCATCCTTTGGAATGGGTTTGCGACTCGTACATAAAAATATATAATTTCACATGTTTGTTATTTTCACACTGACAGCCGCTAGAGGACAATTTTGGAACATCGAGGCATCGAGATATCGGAGATCGCTACTTTTTCTGAAGGAAGTGAACCTACCTGTCTGATCGAGACATCTGAAGGAAGTGAACCTACCTGTCTGAGGATGAAGCTGGTGGACGTGGTGCTGCCGTCAGATCGTTTCAGTCGGCTGCGTCTGGAGTAGGTCCCTCTATTTGTCTGTCCATCACAAAAACACACACACACACACACAGAGATGACGTATTTATTTATGGCATTTTTTTGTACTGAATACTACAGTATTGTAGTACTGAGACGGGTGAACGTGTGTCGTTGGACAAAGAACGCTGGAGATAGAGCCGCCAGGCAGGAAAAGAAGCGGAAGGGAGTATGGACGTCTCTATGTGGAGATGCGGAAAGGTCATGACCTCCTGTGACCTCTGACCGTCGAAGGAGAATCAGCTTTATTGGTCGTTGTGCACATACGAGGACACCAATATCTGTCCTCTGCACTCAAGACCACCCCCAGGGAGCAGCGAATGCTTTCAGGAGCGCCCGGGAAGCGAGAGAACGTAGCGGCTGCTCCACACACCATATTTGAACGTGTGATCTGATCTCTGATAACGAGCCCGATCCTCCGATAGCTACACCACAGACGGGCCCCAAGCTGAAGACGGGACTGCTTCGGCTCCGAAACTACAAGGTCAAGAGTGACCGTCGGAGCTGAATCTCAGTTCAATACTGTATTTAAACAGTTCTACAACATTTGCTCTCTCTACCACTGGGACGTACGAGCAATAATAAGCTCTGATTTAGAATCTGAGCAGCTTCCTCCACGGATGTAAAGACATGCAGTTATCTGTGAAATATATAAATATACCTGCATGTTTACTTCATTACATGTTAGATTAAATCTAATTCCAGTTCTCTTCAGTTTTCGTCTTCTGCTGCGTTGAGGTAACATTAAGATTTAAACAGGACGGAAATGAGTGACAGAACCGATTTCCTTTCTGTCCCGGTGTCTCAGCAGCAGCTCGATCATCAGACCGTGTTTTAATAATTCAAACTTTCATTAATTAATTTCTTCTTTTTTTTTTTTTTTTTTAAATGAACCGCACTCGTAGAAACTGGGTCGGAGTGAGCGATGATGGGAAGAGCTCCACAGGATCATTAGCTCTGATGATTGGACAACGGACAGATGAGAGAGAGAGAGAGGGAGAGAGGTGAGGAGAGAAACTCTGTAACTTCAACTGAGATGTGCTGTGAAGATGGGAGAGTGGGAGAGGGAGGAAAGGGAGGAGATGAAATGCTGAAGAAGAAGATGAAGAGGGCAAGAGTGGATAAGTAGAAAGGTGAGGAAAGAGGAAAACAGAGGAAACAGAGAGGGAGAGAGCAGATGACAGCTGTGAAATGATTAAGTACGGGAAGATAGAAAAAAGCTGGAAGGAAAAGATAAGGGGGAAGATAAGAGAAGGAAGGAAGAGGAAAAAAAAGAGGAGGAGATGGAAGACGGAAAGACCAAAGGTAAGTAGGAGAGGGGGGACGGAGTGGGAGAAAAGTGGCGTAAGCGCAAAGATGGGGGAGTAAAGTAGGGGCAGACGAGTTTCAGAGATGAGGTTGAAATAAAAAATGAAAAAAAAAAAAAACAGGTGTGAAAATCAGAGATGAGGTGATAACGAGCAAGAGACAAATTAAATAAATAAAGGTGCGTTCATCTGCTCTACCTGAAACACGGCGGTCTTCTGCAGTCCCTCTCCTATCCCGTGTCTGGTGTAGATGTGTCGGGACATTTCGGCCAGTTCGTCCGTCCAGGGGGGAGGCTGCCGCTCGTTGCCGCCGCTCCACTGCTGCTCCAAGTGATGCGGGAACTGCTGATGCTGCTGTTTCTCCTGCAGCAGTGACCGGTGGACCGCGGGCTCCAGCTTTGCTCCGTATCACACACACAAACACACACGCACACACAAACGCAGCAGAAGAGGACGAAGAGGAAGAGGAAGAGGAGGAGGAGGTACATAGCGACCTGTCCCGTCCTGCATCTGCTGCAGATCTGTGCTGCGAGGACGAAGCCTTGGCACATTCTGACCGAGGCCCCTCCCCCTGCTGATGCTCCTGCCCCTCCTCCCATCACCGTCACAGCTTAGTGGTGCTGATGGGAGAAGTGATGCTGCGTCCGCAGGCAACACGGAGCACACAAACGCAGCATCTACAGTACACAGCATTCTATGGCAAATAACAAATTATTACTCAGCCATGTCTATAATAAGCTAATATATACAGTACATAAATATATAAAAAAAATACAAATTCTGATTCTGTCATAATTATATCTGATACAGTATAACATGTATTTTTATTTCCCGATGTGTTGTTTTTATCTAAGTGTTCGTTGAGGCAAAACGTTTAATAAATACAAACTAAATTTACTCGAAATATATATATCGTAATTGTAAATATTTCAGGGTAATCTCGGTAGTTGAAAAACGAAGGATACAAAACGAAAAAGACATTTTGGTCACCTGATTTGTCCTACTGGCTACAGATCTGTGAACATAACCGAACTATTAACAGGCAAGACAAAAATAGCATTTTTTTCTGTGCTTTTCTGCTCACAACATCCTCAAAATATCCTTACAAGTGCAACGCAACTGAAACCAGGGCGAGTTTAGCTCATCTGAAAGGAAGAGCCGTCTTCCTTTGAGTCTTTTTCGCCCTCAGTGTGAAGTTGAACTGAATAACGTGCAGTTATTCATTCGTCTGCTGCCTGAGTGTTGTTTGCTTGGTTGTTAGGCAAACATCACAGACAAGCAGGCAGATCTTCACCTCAACTTCGAATTCAGACTGCAGTAGACTAGGCCAGAACCACGATCAGAGGAGACTGAGAGGCAGATCTTCACCTCGATTTTGAAATCAGACTGCAGTACAACGGGCCAGAACCACGATCAGAGGAGACTGATGAAAACGCGCGTGCGACTGGCTGTGCAAGCACGATATTTTTATACACGATGACAGAGATGAGACTGAAGGGGAAAAAAAAAAAAAAAAAAAAGTCGCTGCCTGAACACACAGTCAGGCTCAGTAACAGCTTGGCTGTCTGTGATTGCAGACAGACTAGACATGTGCAAAGAGAACACCTTGTTCTGTTAGATCTATTTTTTTACATAAAAATCATGTTTAACCCCATTGGATCGAGTTGTTACTACCTAACGATTTTTCAAAATTTACATAAAAAAAAAACCAAAAAAAAAACCTTGTCATTTCCAGTGGGACTGATTCTCTGAAAGGTAACGAACAGAGGAGTGGTTAATTAACTGCTCATGTCTTCTGGGAAACACTGACATTATTCCGACTGCACAGATGGAAACAGCAGAGTATCAGCAGGCCGCCCGTTTCTATTTTAGTCCTGCTCCTTTTTAACTGTCTTAGTGTAATTACATCAAGGCATCAACAGAAAAATGACGGAGAAATGACAAAAGACGACTGTACCGACGACGACGGTGTTTGTCGCAACCGACAGGAGCCACAAATTAACATCCATTTTATGAAAAATCACAAAAGCCTCTTACATTTTCTCTTTTATTCCCAAAGAATATTTATAAGTTTGCTCTGTTACAAAAGCACGTTCTTTTTAAAACCCTGGATAAAGAAACTTTCCCATCGAATATCTCTAAATATACAGAATTATACATTTGTTTTTTCTTATTATTCACCCAGCGGATTCAGAGACTAAAATGACTTCTTCCAACTTTTCACATGTCCTCGTGATTTGTCTTCTTTTGGACAGAGAAACAAGGCATCCAGTGGTAATAAAAAAAAAAAAAATTTTATAAAGCTAAGGTGCAACATCACTGTCACTGACAAAACCAGTTTGTTTGTTTGTTTGTTTTTTACATCCAATATTCTGTACAGTGCCTTTGATATGAGGCTGTGAAAAGGGGGAATAAAGAGAGATCTGGATAAAGTTATCTTGCATTCATGCAATGAATCTGAAGATGCTCCTTGAAAATCCCAAGGAGTTCCCACAGCAAATTTAAAAACATCCAGTCGCCCCCTGTTTCTCCACACGAACAGTCTTTTACTGAAAACATTTACATTAATATCGGAGGCCGGGGAAAGCGAAAGCAGAGTCGAGCCCGTAGAAATGTCAATCGCAGAGGCCGGGGAAAGCAAAAGCAGACGGAGTCGAGCCCGTAGAAATGTCAATCGCGCGACGCCTCCTTGAGACGGGTGGGGGGAGGGGGAGACATCGATCCCCTTTAGGATGCTTTAAAGGGACGGCCGACGTCACCGTGACAACCTGACAGCCGCATCTCTGAGCAGGGAGTGTGCGCAGCGGCGTCAACACCGTCAGTCAGCGGGCGTCTCTACCAGATCCACTGACACTTAAAGTAGACCTTATGTACGTACGATCGGTTTCTTTCTGCCAAACTCACCGTTGATCGAGATAAGCAGGGCCCCAGACACACAGATGCACACACATACACTAATATATATATATACATATATATAAATATAACTTGGGTTCATAAGCGATGTGTGAGCCATCGACACGGATGCGTGGCTTGAGAGAGCAGACAAGCCGCGGCCGTTATCAATGCTGGTGAAGAAAAAGAAGAAGAAGAAGAAGAAGAACGATGAAGAAACGCGGCCCTGACCTTGTGCTGTCGCGTTAGAACAGTGATCATCTCCAGCTCTACTGCGGATTCCCACGTAATCACAGTCTTTGTCTATTCCTTCTTCCGCAAAAAAAAAATAATTTCAGGTTTGTGAAAAGAAAAATGTCTGGGTTCATATGAAGGTAAAAAAAAATAAAAAATTGAAATTCAATAGCAATCATCTTTGGACCCCACTTTTGTGACTCACAACCCCACCACTGGCTTAAGAGCCGCTGAACGCAGCAGATTTAAAAGATTAGTGCGGAATGACCTGGTTAGAACACAACCGAGTTCCCAAAAAAGGAGAACACGCCCTTTAAATCCGAGGTATGAATATAACTGCACTGATCTAGATTCAGATTATTGGGGCTCCAACAGTGTCCCAGATTAAGGTCTACCTCAGACAGATGTTTTCAAAGTAGGTCAGAGCGGCCCCATGTTGTCGCCGCCTGCCAAAAGGTCTGATGGATGCGGCCCACGTGGGTGACATACAGATGGACCATGTACCTGAAAAATACGCCCT